CAGCGTGACTTTTTGGAAATCTGACGTTCTGACATTTCGACGTTCTGGCAAGTCTACAAAAAGCATGAGCAGCAGATTTGTGGATTCGCCGTTCTGGCAATCTGCTGTTCTGGCAATTCCACGGAAAGACTAGGATGACATTTGTAGGAATGCCGCTCTAGCATTATGTTGTTCTGCCAATTCTACAGAAAGGTTAGGATTAGATTTGCAGGATTGCCGCTCTAGTATCTTACCGATCTAGCAGATCTACAGAAAGATCAGGATTACATTTGTAGAATTGCCGCACTAGCAATTTGCCGTTCTGGCAATTCTACAGAAAGGTAGGAATTAGAGTTGTATAATTGCCGCCCTAGTATCTTGCCGATCCCGCACTTCTATACAAAGGTAGGAAGCAGATTTGTGTAATTCCCGCCCTGACGATTTGGCGTTCTGGAGATTCTACCGAAAAGATAAGAAGCACATTACAGAACCACTAGTCTAGCAATTCGCTATTTTAGTTATTGTAGATAATAGATAGTAGAATAGATACTACATTAATAAAGTAACTACTAGACAAAGTTAAGAATCTAAGAAGCTAAGAACTTAGTTTTTAGATAATCTCTTAATTATAGAACTACTAGTTTAGTAGTTTATAAACAGTAAAATCTAAAGTAATTCTAGATAGAATTAAGCTACTTTGCTTTCTAGCTACGCTAGAGAGTAGTAACTAGATTTTAGTAAAGCTTAGTTATTATATAGGCCTTAGAGTCTATACTAATTATATTATACTTTATACTATATATAATTATTTTACTTCTATTTAAAGTCTTTTTACTTTTATCTAAACTATTAATATATTATACTTTATAGTATATACGCGCGCGCGTAATTATTTAAAGTTTTAATATTTCTTAGTAGCTTACGCTACTACGCTAAAATACTAACTTTTATAATTATAGTAATACTTACTATAATTATATTTTATAGCTAATAGAACGCTTACTTTTATTAGCTAATTAGTAGCTATACTTTTATTTAGTATAAGTTAAGTATATATAGCTTTATAAGTAGAGTAATAAAAACTATATTTTATTTTAAATAGTATAATAGATATTTTAAATTTAAAAAATTAAGTCTTAAATAAATAACTACTCTTTACTAAGTATCTTATAAAAGTATAAAATAAAGTTTAATATATACTTTATATTTAAGGTATATATAAAAGTATACTAAGCTTTTTTAGCTTAGCTACTAATACTTTAGTAAGTAGCTTATTTTAAAAAATTTACTATATAAGTAATATAATTACTTTATTATTTTTTTTAAAATTTAAATAAAATAGTAATATAACTATAGCTTATTAGTAGTGCCTTATACCTAATTTTGCAGACTCTATTTAGTAAAAAGATATTAAAAAACGTCTAGCTTTTAAAGTTGTTCTAGAACTACTAGAAGATTTTAAAATTTTAATATATTTAGTGTATATTACTATTAGCACTAAGGCTTCTATATAGACTAATAATATATTACTTTTAAGGCCTTACTAAGAGAGTAAACTTTTTAACGCCTTACTATATTTAATCTTTAGCTATTAACATAATATAACTTAAGCTAATAAAGATAACTACTCTCTTAGTTCTTAAAAGTAACTATAATAGTAAAACGCTAATATAGCTACTATCTATTTAATAGTATTATTATACTAGAAGTAAGCTTTAAACGCCTTGTCTTCTTTAGTCTATTTATTATTACTTTAGCTAAGAATTCTAATAAACGCCTTACGCTAGTATATAATAGCTACTTTTATTTCTATAAGTAGAGCTATCTATAGCTTAATCTTATATATAAAGTTATAAGTATAGATAGTATAAATAATTAATAGATTACTTTAGGTAGAAAGAGTAATACTAGTAATATAATAACTATTCTATTACTTTCTTTAAAGTAGGTATAGTCTATAAAAGAACTTTTATATATTACTAGTAAGTTACTTAAAGACTTAACTATAATAAAGAACTATAAAAAGTCTTAATCTACTTATTAGAAGTTTTTATAGTAGTAGTATAATAATCTTAATAGTATTAATAGTATTAATAGTATTAGTAGTTTTAAAATATAATATAAAAGAATAAATTAGATAGGCCTTAAAAGCTCTAATAATAGCGTTTATAATAGCCTTAATAATAGTTTATATAATAATCTTTAGAATAGCCTAGCTAAGAGCTTTCTTTTTAGTAGTCTTAGAGTAGTCTATAAAAGCTTTAATAAGTAACATAATATAGTATAAGAATATAATTAATATAATATAACTAGTAATAAAATTAGCTTTAGATAGACTTACTAACGCTAGAAGAACTTATAAAAGAGTAGTAACGTAGTTAAGAGCTTATTTAGTGTACTAGTATAGCTTTAGTATTAGATTTAAGCTACTATTTACTTTAATAAGTTTTTAAATCTCTAATTTACTATAAGCTATAGAATAAGAATAAGAATAAGAATAAAGATAGAGATAGAGAATAAAAGGTATAGGTGTAGTAAAAGTATAATTTTGCTTACTAAATATTTTAGCATTTTATTACTTTATAATCTATAGCTTTATTAGTTATAAGCTATTAAGAATATATAATTATATTATAATTCTCTCTACTATAAGTAGACATTAGTATTTATAGAATAGTTACCTTACTACTTTAAATTTTAAAAGCTTTAACTACTATACTAAAGGTAGTAGCGCTAAGAACCTAAGCTTTAGTTTACCTAACGCCTACACCTCTAAACATAAGATTTTAATCTTTTTAGAAATACGTCTTTTTATGTACTAGTAATAGACCTTACTCTTTTTAGACTAGCTTCTACTATAGAATTATTAGTTTACTAATAAATAGCTTATTAGTTATAAATTTTTTAAAATAAGTTATAAAGTAAATATACTATATATTTTTACTTATAAGTTAGTATATCTTTTTATATATTTACTACTATTTTCTTAATACTTATACTTTATTAAAACTTTTTATAAACTTTTTAAAGCTATTACTATAAAATAAATACTTTTAATAATACTAATATTTTTATTTTATATAATTTTAAAAACTTTTATCTCTAAGTTTTATACTTTAGTATATTTTCTTTATTAAGACTTATTTTTATTAGCTTAGTAAGCTTTTATAGTATTAACTTTATTTTTAATAATTTACTTACTTTTTTAAATTAAGTTTTTAACTTTTATATAAACTTAAGCTTTACTTAAGTTTAGTAATTTTATAATAAAAAAACTTTTATTAACTTTAAAAAAATATATTTAAAACTTAAAAAAAGTAAAATATAAGTATATACTAAGTTTTTTAATACTATTACTATTAATATTACTACTTTAAAAGTATATTTAAAAGTAGTAGTACTAAGTAGTAGAAATACTAAAATAGTAAAAAACTAAATTACTACTTTATAAAGTATATAGTAAAAAAAAATAAAAAAGTAGATTTTATATATAAAATATTCTAAGCTTATATTTAGAAAAAAAAGAGTATCTTATAAATAAAGAAAATTCTATACTTAGTATATAGTATCTAATATAAATAAAAAAACTAAATATAATTATTATATAAGTTTAGTATAGTATTATAAATAGCTATTAAAAATAGTAATTATAGCTTTACTATTACTATTACTATTACTATTATAAAAATAAATAAACTATATATTATAAATTTAGTATTATTAGGCTTATTAACTTATTAAAATAATTAAGTTAGTAGCTTTATTAGTAATTAATTTAAATAGAAATAAAATTTAATCTCTATAAAGTATAATATAAACTAGAGCTTATATTAGGTCTTAGCTCTAAAGAGCCTAGGCTAACTTAGTATTAGCTATAAATACCTTAGAATTACTATCGTAGCTTAGTAGCGATTCGTCTCTAGTCTTTTTAGAATAATACACCTAATTATAGTCTAATATTGTGCATCTAGTATTTAACTAACTCTATTATTTAATAGCTTAAGACTACTAATAAAAACTATATTTATAAAAGAACTAAGTTGTAGTTTATATAAATTAGAAATTGCTGTTGTTAGTATGTTACTCTCGCGCGAGATAACATGAAAACTCTATTTTTCCTTTCATTTCCGGCGACAGTTCACGTCCTCCAACTCTTGGGTAGGAGTATGTGAAGCCGTTGCCCATGGAAAAGCACGAAGCGGGTAAACTAGCCCCTGACTGTCAAAAACATAGTTGCTCAAACGGCTTACAGCGACTGCTGCACACGCTGATACAATCGAACACTGCATCTTGGCTGCTCACTCTTGTAGTTTGCCAGCCTCAAGCAGTGAGTGCTATCGAACATCGTGTGTAACGATTATAATGAGCCTCCTCTCATCGTTCTAATAAGCACGCTGTATAAACAGAATCGATGTTTAACATAGAGCTCATGTCAGGGACGCGTCTAGATAGCACAAACGTCGGTAGTATAATAGCCGTCAACTTTGCCACCACGCTGCAACCTTCCGTTTGATGCGAGAGCCACGACGATCTTTACCCCTTCTTAAAATCGCAAAAGCAACATCACTTCAAGCGTCGCTATAATAGGGCGTACCGTATCATCAAGGTTACCGGATAACTGGAAGTAAAGGTGTGAGAGGCACGGGTACCTGAAGGCGCCAGTAGTGCCGCGCTAACCGTGCCCGCTCTTGGCGCGCTCCCAGGCGGCTTCAGAGTGGGCGATGCACTGAGACAGCAAAGGGTGATGTTATTTGATTCTGCCTTGTTCTGTCTTGGTAGTGTACTAAGACACCGTTCCGGGTCGGTCGGCTTCCAGTATGACAGATGACGTCGCGTTTGTTGCATCGCTGCTACCTACCTAGGTACCTAGGTATACTTGAGCATTACCACGTATCGTGCTCTTCCTGTTCGCCTTCTTACTTCGCTCATTCTAAGTCGCCGCATTCTCCACAGAGACTGATTCTCTAACCAACATCATGACTTCAGCATTCACTATAGAGACTGTACCGCTCCCCAACACCATGACTTCAACACTCAGTTCGGTCGCAGCGACACTCGTTCCGATCCCATCGAGCGAAGCCCTGCCTACACCCACGTCTTGTTCTCCAGGTATCGCTCCTAATGGTCTCAACACTACGGGACTCACAGGCCAGATCTGCCAGGTCAACGTTCCTCCAAACGATGTCAACATCACATCCTGCTGCAACAATGGTGCTGAGGTCCGTATCTTGAACGACTGCACTCAGTGGTGCGAGGCAGATGATGGGAGTGATTTCTTCGACTGTATCAACGACATGGCCTCGTCGGCGTATCCCTTCCTTGGTGGGCCATGTGTAGTCTTGTCGGCAAGCTCGACTCCAACGATGTCATCATCCCGCACCGGAATCGCATCGACACCGTCTACTTCCCCAGAGACTCAGACGCCGGAGTCCACCGAGGCGTCGCCTTCCACCACTGAGTCAGAAGAGGATGGCGCTGAAGCAACGGAGACTCCCGATGTCGAAGGTATGTATCCGCCCCATCAAAATCTGTTCTAGTATCACAGCTTGCTGATTAAACAAGACGCGGCCACGAACAACTTGCGTAAACACGCACTTGGCACGACAGTGTTAGCTGTAGCTGCAACACTCGGCATTTTGGCCTGGCTTTAGTCAAGAACCCGTTTAGAATACATAGGAAGACATGTACCGATCTACACGCACATAAACCTGGTATCAAGACAATATTGCAACACGAATCCGTAGATTGCACCCAGACGTTCAACATGCACAATTTCTCAAACTTCTTTCTTGTCATATGACGTGGTAAAATGAGCTGCTGCAGAGCAATCATCGAATTCAGTCTGAGTAGGGTAGCACATGAGGCCTACGCTTTGCTAATAGCAAGCACATACTATAGCATACTTAAAGCGCCCAGAAGAACGTAGCGAAATCATTCGTATCTCATCAATCATGCACGAATTCAAGGGTCATGTTGATAATGTGCGCAAAGAAGCGATTCATTTTCTACAAGAACAAGGCTTTTTCAATGTCACTTCTAGTACAAGTAGTCTCAGCAACGAGATCGCACCAATCTTCGCTCGCGACCGGTTCATTGGCGTCTCACAGAACATGTACGATAACATGAAGCCTGGTCTGCAACTTGCGAGTCGATTTGTGGGAGACGAACGAGTTCTCGACTACTTCTGGCATCAGATGAGAAGCAGGACATTGCCTTCCCAGACCTTCGTAAGAGATGAGCCGCCACCACTAATCTACACCTCGACCTCTCAGAACGAACACCCCTCCGTCTTGATGGCCGACTGGAGGGAGAAGCTTAGCAACTTAGCTAGCGTCTTGACCTGGAAGGTGCAAGCATCCGACCGTACACCGAAAGACATGGATTTGGGGTTAACCTTCGCTTTTGATGAACTCCGAACAACCTTCTCAGACCGCGCGACCAATGACAAGACTTACAACGAGGTTCTAAGACTTTGCAATTGGCGTGAAGCCGATAGGAGCGCCAAGATACGTAACGGTATGTTGGATTATTGCGCCGATACGATGGGTGAGGGTTGGCGTTTCCGGCCAGGAAAGGGGGCACCGACGAGTCCCTGTGTACTCCTGCACTCGTTCTTTCGCAAAGTGCTCGATCCAGACTCCGAGACAACTGTGATAGATGGTTCTGGTCCTCCCCCTCCATCGAGCGTACAGAACCTTGGACCCCAATTCCTTCTCGCCCACGTCTTGCTCCACGAGTTGGCCCACTGTCTCGACAAGTTTCCAATCTTCAAGTGCAATGATCCCCAAGGTCTATCGATGGAAGCTTTTGCTAACGAGGAAGAAGCCAAGATTTTCGCATTTCCCGAATGCGGTCTCTCCTGGGAACGGGCAATCTTCCAAGGTCGTTGCATGCGATTCCATCAATTCGTCGCTGACCAAAGCAGGATAGCAATGAAATACACAGATATCGCTGCCCTTGCTGTCGCGAGTTTCAGCCACAAAGACGATCGTGGTACTGCTACATCATCTACTTTCACCGTTGGTGACAAAACTTACAAGGCCACGACTGACTTCACGAGCTATGAGAAAGCATTGATCCCGTGGCAATGGATCTCAGACTGGTTCCAGGAGTCGCATTGGCATCCCAATCGGACTTGTGAAGAAGTACTGGCCATACCTTCTCTGGAATGGAAAATGTCCTATGAACTCCCCGCACCAGACGACCCGTCCACGATCATTGATGAGATTGTGAGGATCAGAGTGAAAGTACCTCACAAGAATGAGCAGTAATAGATGTGTGTGCAAAGCTGCAGAGAAACGTAGAGTATGCAGCGTCTAAATTTACACCTGCCAAAAAAAAACACACAGTCCCTTAAGCAGCTTGCTTTGTTGTCTCAATACTTTCCTTCCCATAAACATCATGCTTCGCATCCTCCACAATCTTGCACTCATACAGCTTGAACTTTCGTGCCGCCACTCTAGCTTCGAAGATCTCATCCAGCTCCTCTAATGATCGCGCTTTCGTTTCCGGGAGGAAGAAGTAGAACCAGGCAACACAAATGAAGTTTGAAGCTGCCCATATGTACGTGTATTGCGGGCCCTGCATCTTTGTCAGCGTTACACTTGATGACAGTGGAGTCAATGCATACCCAGTCGAGATCTTGTGGGTTGATAAAGTATGGCGAACAGAAACCGATCAGCCAAGCCAGGAAGTATCCAAGCGCATTCGCGCTGCCCACCGTCCAAGCTCGCAGTCTTGAACTAACAAGCTCTGTCGCTAGGGGACTTGTCGCAACGCCCACCCCAGCATTGTAGCAAAACAGGAACAGCGCCGTAAAAGCTACTAAAACGTTTCCAGTCTCGACTGAGTTGGGTTTTACGCTGCTTGCAATCCCGCAAGCAAGCTCGCATAGACCGCATGCTATCGCTCCGGCAATCATAATCGTCCTTCTGCCAAACAACTTGTTCATGGAGTAAAGGCCAAGATGAACGCCCACAAAGCCAATACACGAGTTCATGATGCTGTACTCAAAGGCTTTCGTGATACCAGCGATGGCGAGGAAGTAGGTTTGGTAACCAATGAAGAACCAGACGCCACTCGCTGACTGGCTCGCGATCGTGCCCCAGCAAAGCAGTGTGCGTCTCAAGTCATTGCCGCGGAAGAGATCCAAGAAGCCTGAGCTTTGACTCAATCTGCGCTCTTCTTCAACGCCACGGATCATCTCCGCCCATTCCAACTCCAGCTCTTCGCCATGGTCGAACCGAAGTCGCTCCAAAGACTTGCGCGCTGCGTCATGTTGGTCACGATGTAGAAGCCATCGCGGACTCTCGGGGACGAAGAAAAGCGCTGTGCCGAGTAGAACCGGGACGATGAACATGCAGGCGAGGGGGACTTGGTAGGAGAGTTTCGAGAGGTAGCGTGAGGTGTAGTTGTCGATGATGGAACCGATGATGCTTCCGAGATTCACGTAGAAAGAGAAGAGTCCAACCATAATCCTGCTCACCGTCAGTGTATCTATCGTCCGTGAATAGATCCGGAAACTTACTCCCGAAGATGCGCAGGTGCTGCTTCGCTACAGTATACCGTCGAGAACACGACAAAGAAGCCGTTAGAGAAGCCTAACAACAGACGGCCTACGTATAAACCGGTCTTGGAGGTAGAGCCGATCTGCACCGACACTGCGGCCAAACATATAATGCATGCGAGCCACAAGGCCTTCCTGCGACCGAAGTAGCCACCAAAGACACCGGCAGCGATGGCAGATACGCACGAACCCAGATTTAGCAAAGAGGTCATGAGCTGTTGCACCGTCGACTATCTTGCGCGTCAGTAACTTTCGCGATGTCATAGGCTATGTGGACTTGCATCAATGCCATAGCCAAGCGGGCTTGTCGGGTCCTCATACCCAAAGACCATCAGAAATCCAGGCATGGCCTGCAGACCGCCAACTGCAGCAGTATCAATGCCGTACTGCATGCTAGCAATAGCGACGGCGGAGCATATCAGTAAGCATTTGCGGTTCGCCCACAAGGACGTCTCCTGAAGTTTTGCCATCACTGCTCACGCAGGGACTGACCGGTAACACTCTGCGAAAAGAAGGGATCGCAGCCTTATACAGCGAGTTATGCGAGTCAGGCAAGGTTAGCATCGTGGGGCAGTGAGGAGAAACCCATGTCTTCTCCGCACTGGCAGGGGTGTTATGCAAAGCTGTATGGAAATGCCCGACACCTTGCCATTTCGAGAGTTGATCGACCTCGGGAGTCGACGCATACATACAATCCATGAATTATATGGTATCTCAGCCAATCCCTACTCGTAGAACGTGCTGAACTTGTACTTGGTTTCGCGGTCATACTTCGCCAAATCTTGGCGTGCTTGCAGCGCCTCTCGGATAACCGTTTGCTTGATCTCTTCGTGTCTGGGTGTGAACTTGACCTTGAATGGCTGAGGTCGCCAATTCGATCCGCTCCTGCTAAACATCAATATCCACGAAGCTTCCCAACCTCGTTATCTGGAAACAAAACTTACGTAAACTTGAAGATGTCAACAGGCACTTCCCCTCCTGACTCTGGGTCCAACTCTGGCTCCACCTTGTATGCCCACACCAATCGCGCGATGCTGAGATGCGTACCCTGCTCTGCCAATGCTTGACCAGCACAGCTTCTTCTGCCCCATCCAAAAGTCATATATCCCTTCTCACCAGGAAATGGTCTCTTATCATCCGTGTCGAGAAATCTCCTTGGATTGAAGCGATCAGGATCGGGGAATTCGCGCTCGTTGTGATGTATCGCCCAGACGTTGCCCTGCACCCAAGTACCCTTCGCGATATAGTAGCCGTTGTAGTAGTCATCTTGAGTGGGTGCATGAGCAGTACCTCCTATAACCGCCACTGAACGCCAGCGAAAGACTTCTTTGACGAAAGCGCGGAGATACGGAAGATCATCATCGAGCGTCGGACTTCGCGATCGACCCACCACACGGTCTAGCTCTTCCCAAGCGGGTTCAAGGGTCTCGGGGAAGGCACGCATTGCCAGTACCGCTGTCTGTAGAGTGCTACTTGATGTATCCGCTCCAGCACCGAGCAGGTTAGCGGCGAGATTGGAGATTTCGAGAGGATGAAGATTGAGGTGAGGTGCTTCGCGAAACAGGTACTTGGAGTAGTTCTCTTCTGGGCATTGCTTGGCTTCTTCAGCCAAAGCATAGAAGAAATCATTGCGGCCGTATTTAGGCTTTGCTGAACGTCGAGTATCACGCTTCCAAGGAGCCATCCAATTGGGAAACTTGGCCAGCCCTGTCTATGTTAGTATGAATTTGAGTAAGTGGTTTCGAAGATTACATGGGAAGGTCTCCATCAGTCGCGGGAAATCCTTGGCGATGACTGCCATCTTAGCAGAGGTCTGCATCTGAGCGATCACTTCAGTGATCAAAGGATCTTGTATGTCTCCAATCCGACGTCCAAAGCCGATGATGGACACAACGCTCGTAGCGTATCGCTCGAAATGAGCTACGAACTTGTCGGGGGTCTCGAGTAGGTCGCATACTACTATCTTGTTTTCGTCGTCTTGAAGGCTTCGATGGCGTTTTATCTGGTAACGTCAGTATGAGCAACATAAAACCCTGTGTTACGCTGACCTGCTGAATCCCAACCCCCTGGTGGGTAACTCTCCTGAGATCGCGAAACCTTTCACGCTGTTCTTTTGTGTACGTGTATTTGTGCAACAGATTCATTTGGCCGGACATCAGCTCAGCAAACATCAGCATGCGGGGTCTAGAGTTGTAGATGTTTGCCCGCTTGACGAGAAGCTCATCAGCAGTCCATGCGTCGTTGACCCAGACTGTCGGTCTCCTGTGCTGTGTTATTCACTGTTCATAACGGCAGAACTGCTGTCGAACTAACCGCCCGATCCAGAACGTGATGAGCGGTGACTTGTATTGTTTCGATAGCTGTTCCATGAGATACCAAGGCTTTTCCTCCGGTAGACTGAAGGTGTTTCCAACAATAGGCCAAGGCAACGGTCCTGGAGGCTGTTGGCGTATTAGTGATAGACCCGACATGAAGCTGGCAAAGGAGTAAGCAATTACCATTCGCCATCTTAGGTACAGCATGCGGCTGTAGTCTAGTACAAGAGCGATGATGCCCGACAGAAGAAGATAAGTAGCCCACATGCTCGCAATTACAGAAAGGCGATTATCTCAATAGTAGACCGAGAAGCTGGTGGGTGCAGAGAGCTTGGTGCCAGCAATAGTCATGAAGTTTAGATGAGAAGCTTATACACCCGCCTTCACGTAATCATACCCGTTGCTTCGTTTTCGAAGGCTACGGCTGGGGATCATCCCCACATTACCGTGGTGGGGCAGCCCGCTTTGGCTGTTGGCGGGAGGGCCGGAAATAAAGACATGCGTAATCCCCAATATGTGTATCGCGCCGACATATCCAATTCGCTGCCAACGCTACGAGACGCGTAGATAGGTGTTGACGGGATGGGGGGAAGCGGGGTATGTGTAACGCCGTCCCTGTCATGTCTCGTGTGCTGGATTCCGTTGAGCTACAAATACCTGGAACAGACTCCGCTGGCCAGCCGAAGAAGATCGTTGGTTTTGGATTAAAAGACTACGCGCTTTTTGCTCAGACTGATGCACAGCGTTGTTACGGCTCGACTTTCAGTACGGTAGGTATGTTATTCACGAAGCCGGAACGGCTGGTCCTCGCTCAACGAAGCTCCAATGCGTGGTATGTATCGGGGCCTAACGATTCGCTGTGTCGGAATGCGGGTATATGCGGTGTTGATGCTGCGTTCTCGCTGAGCTGGTGTTGAGCACCTGGACAGTTTCGCGAGATCTTGATGACGTAACGCGCAATGACGGATGCATCTCTGAGTCGGGTTAGTGCTGTATCGCGCTCGTGCTTGAGACACGCGGCAGCAGCGCGCGCATACGTGACCAGTACAACTTATTGCATGTTAAACTCAAGCATGTCGAGCAAGCGTTCGACGACTCTTGGTAGATGACGACAGAAGCTACCGTTACTATGGGTTCCGACCAAGCCTCTGACAGCGCCCACTATGTGCCCAGTGGCACCAATGGCGTAAAGCGTGAGTCTCCACCTGGGCACCTGCACGATGCAATGCAAGGCACAGTCCAACCCCGACGCTAACAGCACCAGGCCGGCGAAGGTCAACTGTTCTCAATGCGAGATCGCATGTCAAGCAGGAACTATGGAAGCAGGCGCCGATACTCATTGGCAGCACCAACTTCGAGGCTCTTCCTGATGCGAAGAACATCTTGATAA